TACTAAGATAGATGTCACGTGGCTCTAATACCTTCTGTTTTTCCATCTCTTAACCTCTCAGGAATCCAGTCTCTTACTTGTGCCAAATTGAGATATGCACAAATTTCAATGGAAGTTCTTGGGTGCATACAAAGAGAAGGATTAGACTCAACTGCATTTTAGAACAAAACGTTAGGAAACTCTGTTCCTCTTTAAATCCTCGCATATTTTGAGTTCAGAACATTGTTTCATTTGCTATGTAAGCAATTAGAATAACACAGTAAGTTAAAGAAAATACACTGCATGTGGACAAATATACTTTTTAGTCGCTTTCAAAGCAGAGGGGCAGCTGTAGCTCAGGAATATGCATCAGCTGTTATGACTGAACTGTTATGTGTGTATTATCCTGTAGTCATACAAGTTAGCTAAATTATCCTAACTTTTATCCCAAATGAAGCAGGACTAAAGCTGAAAGGGTTTTGCTGCACTTGTATCACCACAGAATCACGTAGATTCCATAGTTGCATCATAACTGCTTATATCAATGTTATTTTATACCAATACACTTGTTACCGCTGCCTATGATTATTACTTATTGGTTTAGGTGTCCATGAGTTAGTAGCTACTGGTAGGTTTATGGGGAAAAAGCTGTTAGGTTTGGGGGGGGGGGAGGAGGGGGAATTAATATTTAAAAATATAATTAATCTTGCCAATCCCAAACACGTGGCAATCCTGTGTCAGGAGTTAAATATCATCAAATTGTCTTAAAATAATGGCATTTAAAATGTGTGTGTGTGTGTGTGTGTGTGTGTATATATCAGATATTTACCTTTACTTTCTAGATTCTGAGACTAAGGATTACATTTTTGAACTCTTCTTTACAAACAGGACAGTGAGAAACTGATTTTTTTTTTAAACCACAAAAACTGAGATTCCCATACAAACACTTAAGTCAGCCTCTGGAGGAAGGTGGTAAAGAAAATATAAGAGATCATTGTGATAAAACCTTAAGAGTTGTCAACACTGGGTGTTGTATATCACTATACAAGATGCTTTACTTGCCGTCTATACGTGTGCACATTTACTGTGCAGTAAATACTGAGCAGTTAGCAACTACCTCTAAATACAGGTAGTAAACTAACTGCGCAGTAGATACTGTGCAGTAACACTCTTGTAGATGCCTAGCCAGCAGAAAGCCACAGAGGACAGGGAGTTCTCTCCTTCATCCTGGTGCTGCTCAGCTTCCCGGATCCCCCCAGGAACTGGGAGCCAATTAGCGCCAGGACTGGGGAACGCTCTGCCCCCTGTTCCAGCTCCCAGGGCAAGCAGGAGCATGTTTACGTAGCGCAGAGTTGGCTGCTCCAGGGAGTGGTATAGGGATTGGGAATCTAGCCCTTGCCTGTTCCCTGGAGCAGCTCTGTGCAGCATGGAGCTGGCTGCTCCAGGGAGTGGGCGGGGGCTGGGAGTCCAGTTCTCACCTGCTCCCCACAGTAGCCAGTTCCATGCCAAGCAGGGCAGCTGCTGGCGAGCCCATGCCCACCCCTGCCTGGCAGGAGGCTTGCTGTCAGTTGCCCCACACCCGAGACAGCTCCTAGCAACCCCCTGCTGGACACAGAAGCCCTGCCCAGCAGGGGGCTGGCTGACAGCTGTGTGTCTCAATGGGCACGGGGCCAGGAGAACCCTGTCCATTGCAGAGGCAGCTGTCTCCCAGCCCCGTGCACATCAAATCCCTTCCCAATGTGTATGGCACCAGGAGACAGCTGCTGCTGCAGCTGGCAGAGCTCTTGTGGCCCCATGCCCACTGAGACCAGCCCCATACTCCTTGCCAGTCCCCAGGCTAGAGCCAGGGGGAGTATGGAACTCCGCCCCAGCTGCTGCAGGGTGATGGAGCAGGGCAGGAGCAGCTCTGAACTGGGCTGCTCCCCTTGGAAGCAAATCTGCTCCCAAGAAGGAGCGTGTAGACAGGCTTCCAGAAAGGCTTATTGTGATATATTTTACTGCGCAGTAATCCTACTCCAAATTAATAGCAAGTGTCAGTGTGCCCACTGTGTAATAGTCTGCAATTGAACTTATCTTCCTCATTTGCCTAACATTTTCTTATACTAGTAACTCACTTACTAAGCAACTCTACATATCATAGACTCTCTTAATCATTTTCTATTTTATACACTGTCAAAATAAGATGACTGATTACCTTGTATATATTTTAAGTATAGCATCTAGATAACCCAGCACAGATTACAGTTGTATCTAACTAGATCCCATTAGATACTGGTAAAACATTTCTTTGGTGACTAATAAAATATGACATTATGTTAAATTTGGGTTTCTGAAAGTTCTGTCCCAAGCAATGGGACTGGGACACGCATAATTTTATGTATTAAAATTTTAATTATATTTTTTGTTTTGTTTCAAAAATACATGATAAGGCTTGTAAATTCTGGTCCTGGAAACTCTTTTATTTCCATGAATAATACTTAAAGAACATGAAGATCTTGACTTCATGTGAAAAAGGACTAAGTAAATTAATACAGATCAGTAAGATTAGCCCTATACCTTTTCACTGATCCCTTATGCCTTGGTGTTTCATAGAGAAAAATAAAGCTGTGAACAGGTGTGTGTGAGCGCGCATGTGCATGCACACTCAGACACACACACACTCTTAATAGTTACTGCTGTCCATTCTCAGTGCAGCCAATGGGTGAATGGCTATCTTTATTCATGCTCTACATTAATACTAATTAAGCCACAGGTTTACTCTTAATATTTTTGGATCAGCAATAGTCAGTACTGAAGCCAGAATTTCCTGTGGCTCCCTAGCCACTACAGGCCTTTAATACCTCACAACAGTCCCACACCTCTGCCAGATCTATGGTTTAGGGTGATGTGGGGGGGCGGGGGGGGAAGTGACTCAACTATTCTCAAAATCACTTACTGCAACACTCCAAAGGACCTTGCTTCTGTAATTTATTCGCAAGCTCCTCATCCCATTGGCAACAGCAGTATAGCTAGATGAAACATAGGCAGCAGTCATGTGGTCTGATATAGGTTTGTTGTTTTGAGGCAACCTTAGTCAATGGCATTTATGAGGATGAAGTGTTTGAGTCATTATTCCAAATATAACTGGCTACTTTTGCATAGCTAAGGCAAAACCTATCAAAACTGCACCTCAATGTATGCATAATGGTCACAACAATAATTATTTGATGTACTTAGTGGCCAACACATGAACTTCAATAGATCAGTATAAAAACAGTATATAATATGGAACAGTTTCCACAAAAAAGCATATAACACTGACTTTACTGTTTGTAGGTGAAATTAAACAATACTGACTGCACATGTGCGCTGGGCCCTTGGATTTGGGATTTGTAGAAATACCGCTGTCCCCAAACGGTAAAATCACAACTGCATCATCATCTATCTTCTATAAGACATGGGATTTATAGGATAAGAAAGGTTTTAGAAGTCATGGGGACCTATGCTGACACTGGTTTTGATATTGCCTCTACCTGATGAATCCAAACTGTTTTAATTAATTCCAATTTATACCTTCAATTTTTAAGAATCTTCTATATATGATGCATTTTCTTATACATAGAAATACTGAAGTATGCACAGGGATTTATCCCAGCATTATAAATCTCCCTGCAGATGTGGACTAATAAACAGAGCTGTGTCACCTCCCACATGCAAGTGATGTTCCCATGCCGAAGTCATGCCAAAAAACCGCTTTGTACTACCCCACCTTATAATACAATGAGGTACTGCATAATTATGTGTGTATATGTGTGTTTGTGTGTGTGTATATGTGTGTGGGGGTAATATAGATATCACACACACACTGACTGAAACAACAACAAGCTGGAGTTAGCTTGCAGTATAAAGATATTCATTTAGAGTGTGCAGTAATAAAAGGACCTTACACTCTGGCAGCATTGCATGTGCAACATTCCACACTTCTCTCTCTTTCCATCTTGTGACATTCCTGATACACTTATCCTTTCTTTCAGGGAGCTTCCTGTTCTCATGAAAGGAGAATAGAACACTATCATTCAATACTAAAAGGGGGTCTAGCTAATGGTTTTCTATTATTACTTGTTCCCAGTAGCACCCACAATGTGTTAGGCAAAAGACAAACACAAGGCACTGAACAAACATCAAATATGAATAAACTGTTCACACGTACTTCAGGATTGCAGTAAATATATCACTTTTTTTAATTACCCCTCTTTTTCCAATAATCCTACTAAATTCTATTTCTTGGAAATCCATCTGCCAAAATGTTTTTTTGGAAAAGAATGTGTTGTATGTGAGAAAATATGGTGTTTCTTAACACTTTTTGGGAAAGGTTCCAAATCTGTGGCACCTTTGAGATCAATAGGGCAGGTTATTCCAAAATGCCAGTGTTTAGTAACCCAAATATAACATGAGTCAAATGGGAGAGACCAAGTCTTTTCTGCCTCCATATAACTCATGGATCTAGAAATCCAGCTCTGCCTGATATAGTAGAAAAAGATGGTCCTAGACTTATTGTAGGTTGCCTGAAGTTTGGCAATATACATTGTACTGAGGCCATACAAGACTTTAGACGTTATAGCTGATACTTTAAACTTCAACCTTGCACCAAAAAAATCCAGAAAATTCAGAGACTACAACAGTACAAATGCCTAATCTTCTCTACCTGTTCTCAGTAATAATCATGTTTCTGTATTCTGTATTAACTGTAAGTAACCTTACTTCTTAAGGAACATCATTTAGAATACGTGGTAGCAGTCTGACTTCAGCGTCACAAAGATAAAGATGGTCAGGATGTAAAAAAATAACAGTTGTCATTACTTCAAAAATAAAGTTCACAATACATTTTTACAATAAAAGTTCACAGTACATGTGCACAATGGATCACATCTTATTATCTAGTCAGAATGCAGTCAAAGACTACACTTAGATTCCGTACTAGCATGGTCTGCTGAAGTAATGCTCTATGAAAAACCAGTATTTCCCATGTCTTTCCATTCTCCTCATATTTCCTAAATAAACTAGACTAGCATGAATTCATTTTACTAGGATTTAAACATGTCTTCTATAATGATTTCAAAATAAGCCAATGATAATCTCTGTGTGAGACCACTCTGCAGTACAAATCTACAAATAGTAGTTTGTTGTACACATACATTTGGACGTCAAGTCTGTGATATGGGTACGCATATCAAAGTAACCCTGTAGTACTGTACCTACCAAAGAGACCAACAAAGCTCGACATCCAACACACATTGCGCTTTGTGTAACAGTGCAATAGTTTCCAGCAATGCCTGCTTACAACTAGCCACACTAGGCATTGGAAGAAACACTTTGATGAGGATTCCCATTCTGAGACTCGTTTGTCTTGTAACAGTTCTATGCATCATCAGTATTATCTGGCGATTTCAACTCTGCCTTCTCTGTTGGTGTGCTGCACTTAGATGGCTTGCAAGGAAAGCAGAGTAACTTGAAACAGCGGAGCAAACCTTCTGAAATACTAGATGAAAACAGTTTTTTGCATGGGTGACAAAACTGGTAGAATACAAGCATGAACAGGATGGCCATGCAATAGCCAATTAACAACTGCAAGACTAATAAGGGGGCACAGATATATAGGTAGATGTCTGTTTTATAGAGATACCACATTAACAGGAGGAAAGCATTCTCAATGAATCTTAGCACATAGTATACCGCCAGTCTGTACCAATTCTGTGATTTGTTAATTAAGTCAGGATCATTTAGCTTCAGCTGTACTGCTGACCAGCAGAACATATTAATGCCAGCATACAAGAAGGTAAGAAGGCACAATACAATGGTGGTGCCGACCCTGGTCAAAGCTTTCTCTATATTTTCAGGAAAAGGGGATTTGCTTTTCCAAAAAAGAATCCAGGGGTAAAAGAAAAAGCCAAAAAAGTTCACGAGCACCACAGGGAGGGTCCAGATCTGAAGGACTGAGCTGAAAAGGACCAGAACTACAACCCGAGTAGCAATCTCAAAACTTCTCCACAGAAATATGCAGAGGTAGGCTGCAGGTTTCACATTGATGTCATAGTCGTCATACTTAATCTTAATGGCCAAGATGTTGCACCGTAAAGCTCCATATACAATTGATAGCAGGGAAAGGGTCATGAAGATACCTGGCAAAAGAAAAGACAATCAGTACTTTCTGTTTTAGTAGATTACAAAGCAGCAAATGATTCTCTTTCTACATGAGACTCCTTGGGTAGTGGTACCTAAAAGTAGCCATTTATACCATCCACTCTTAGGCCCGCCCTGTCACCAGTGAGGACATCGCCAGAATTCATTGCTCTCTGGCAACCCAAAATGCATAGAATGCCCTTCATGGAGCTGTTTTTACCAGCAAAAGTTGAAGTTTCTGAGTCTATTTTAAGATTCTGCAAAGAAGTAACAATTAGCCCCAGAACTGGGGGATGTAGTGAAAGCAGAAAAGACAAAGAAACCTATGTCCTGTCCCCACCATATTCCTTAGAGGGAAAATGGAGTCTAAGTGTTGCATTTAAAACATGCTAACTTGTTCATATAGAGGGAGTCCTTAACCTTAAAAAACCTGCACGCTAAGAATAAGGTGGCAGCTAAAACCTAATGTATTTTTACTCTATTTATGAAAGGATTTAAAAAATATTTTTATCCTATCCTAGTTTACAAAAGACCCAACTCACTGCACTGTGTGGCCATGCAATCACAGGCCATTGCTGGGTGTGGATACATGAACACTTGAAGCCCTTTCAAAGGGGAAACATTTTAAAAGGGCAGTAGCTGGTATATTCTAATTGTTATGTATGAACAAGCTGAGTATGATTAAAACCTAACAAAACCCCTCCAACCTTAGCTCTGAATGAAGGAGTGTTAAAGTTGGACACCTTTTGCTATATTTGAATCATTCTCAGCTCATCTGTTCATAACAATTAGAGCACAGGCAACATGTGGGGAGGTCATGGGGGAAGGGGGAAGGGGAGGGCATATGCACCCCGCTGCCGATTTCTGTGCCGACAGTGAGGTGCAGGGCTGCAGCTGGGCCTGAGTCAGTGCCCGGCAGCAGTGTGGTAGCTGTGGTGGTGTGGAGTTGTGCCCCTCCACTGTCAACGCTTATGTGTCATCTAGGAATTAGAAGGTATCAGCTGCTGCCCTATTGAAATGGTCCCTTTTTGAAAGGGCTACAAGCATTCCTGTGTCCACACCTTGTCATTGCATCTAGTGTGAAAAGGTTATTTTGGGATGATGCTTGGATCATGGGATTTCAGCAGTAATGCACTTCAGTTGTAGAATCAGCTACCCATCAGTTATCATCAGCTAGCTATAATCTGATATTGTTGTTAAAAATCACAGTTCAAAACAATTTATGTGTGATACCACTTTTATCTAGTTGCAAATTGTAAAAAAGCCTGTGGCATTTGTTTTTTTAAAAAAATCCCATGTATCTATTTTAACAAAATAATATGTTGCACTAATACTTCGCTCTTTCAAAGATATGGAAAGCTATTATTGTGCCCATTTAAGCAAGGAAAAGAAAGATAAAAGGTTTTTTCCCAAGGTTGGTTGGTTGTGCATTATCTGATTTTGGCACTCACCTTACCGACATCACCAAACATCAGAGTACTTCACAGTCTTTGATGTATTTATTCTGACAGAACCCCACAAGATAGGGAATTGATATTATCTTAATTTTATAGATGAGATACTAAAAAACTAAGGCTCAGATATTCCAAGATATTAAGATGCCTCTCTCCAATTAATATAATCCATGTCACTGGGAGTTAGGCACCTAACTATGTTTGTCACCTTCAGTGAGATTGCTCACTCTCTTTGCAAAGTTTTGTGACATATGTAACAGCAAAGTGCTACCTCTCATAGTGAAAGGAAATGGAGGCTCAAGTTATGCATTGACATATACTATCTGAAGTCACTGTTCATTGTCATATTATATCTGAAGGCACTGCTGTTTCAAATAGGAATAATAGCTTTTTGTTACTACAAAATACCATTTTCTAAAGTGCTCTGTTAGCTGAATATTGGGAATATAGAAGCTCTACATTAAGAAAATATGTACCAGTTGAGTAAAATAATTTAGGAAAACGTTTTCAAACCTGGGTGCCTATAACAAAAACTCTTATAAGCAGGCACCGAAACATAAGTGTCTTGACTTTTAGAAATGCAGGGCATGTACAGCTCTGTTGACAGAAAAATCATACCAGTTTTATTTAAGTGATCAAAACTAGATTTTGGAGGCTAATTTTAGGCACACAGGTTGGCAATTTTTTATCTTAGTTTTTGCCTTTTTTCATTAAAAGGAGTGTTGCAGTTGCAAAATAGTTAACTAAAGTAAAAAATATTCAGTCATTTTTGTAGTTTGAAGAAATTAAGCTACTTGGTCACGCTACAGAACTTTATATTGTATCAGATAAATTAGATTGAGTTTTCTCTTTTTGGTAATGTCAATTATTTAAATGTAGTGCTTAGCAACCAGTTGTATCTGCAGACTTCAATTAGTTTATGTTTCATTACTAATTCACATCTTTCTTATAACTATTTAATCACGATAATGAGTTTCTTCTATGAGACGCAATTCATATCTGAGCATGACTTTGAAAGAGAAGAAATATTCTAGGATCTTTAAGTAACCTATTAACAGGATTTTCCCT